CAGTCATTTCTTCATTATCTGATTCTTTAGTTACTTCTTCTGATTCTGTATTTAATTCTTCTTCTAATAATTGTTCTTAATCAGAAATATCCAGTTCTTTTTCAGTATTAGTTTATATAATTAGTTGTTCTTATATTGGTTCTTCTTCTACTTTTTTGATGATTATTTGTTGATCTTCTATTGTCTTGATGTAACTGGTAGTTTTAGAGTAATAGTCATTAGATGTGTTGGAATCTTCTTCAAATTCTAAGTTATGAAAGTCTTCTAGTGTTCTTTTAACTAATAATAGTTAGTAATCGACTATATATTTATTCTGGTTAATTAGAGTATTTAATAATTGAATTACTCATCTTCATAATTCTTCAGTTCCAATAGTAATAAGATTTGCTTTATAAATATCTTCAAATAGTTGTTCAGTAATAAAGAATTCAAATATTGCATCTCGTTCTTGAATCCAAGTGAGAAAGTTAGCTAGAAGTGCAATTGTTATATTAGAAGGTGGAAAGCAGATATGATTTTAGTATTATTAATTTATTCAAGATGTTATATCTTGATGTTGAACTTCAAGGTGAGTGTTGAAATATGAGCTAATAGATTCTCTAATAAAGTTATAATAATTGTTTATAAAGGGAATTCAAATATAAAAGAGAATTTTGAAATTAAATCTTCACAGATATTTGGTTTTTTGGGAGACTAATCTTTAATTTCATAGAGAAAGCACCAAAATATTACATATTTGTTCACTAATCATTAAATTAACTTACAAATGAGAACTTGGATTGGGAGAGGGTATAAATTGATAAAGAAAATATTAAGAGAGAAGAGGAATATCTAAGGTCTATGTCAATTTCTATAGAAATTGTGTTTTTTTGAAAAGAAATAATAATATAGGAGAGTTATAGAAGAGTAAAGATCAAAGAGAAGAGTGAATAAAAGAATAATAAAGAGGATTTTAAGAGGAAATTTATACTTGTATAAAGTTTTCTAAAACTAAGATAATATAATTAATAATAACAATAACAAAGACTTTTTTACTTTGTTCTTCTCATGAGTGAGAAATATTCATTAATAATTAAAAATTCAAATAATAAAAAGTAAAAATACTTATAATTCAATTTCAATAATTTTCAATACAATGATTTGTTCAGCACAATATGATATAAAACTCAATAATCCAATAACAGTAATTTGTTCAACACAATACGTTATAAAGTTCAAAATCAATAACAGTAATTTGCTCAGCACAATATGATATAAAGCTGTCAGTAATTTGATGAGTTCAATATGATATAAGATCACTTATATACAAAATTTGAAGTATATAAAGAAAATATAAAAGGTGGGAAGTATTTGGAAGAATGTTTTTGTTAAGAGAGGTTTTTAATTTCAGTTACAACATGTCAAATTAAGACTCAGACAGCATTACTATTTATATATTTTTCGAAATTACAAAAAGTAAAATAAATAATTATAAAAATATATAAAAGTGAAATAATTAATTATAAAAGTGAAAAGTGAAATTTTGAAAAAGTGAAAAATAAAAAGTGAAAAATTGAAAAAATAAAATAATAAATGAAAAGTGAAATAATATATATAAAAGTGAAAAATAAAAAGTGAAATAATTAAAAAGTGAAAAATAAAAAGTGAAAAATCAGAAAAGTGAAATAATATATATAAAAGTAAAAAATAAAAAGTGAAATTTCAAAAAAAGTGAAAAATAAAGTGAAATTTCTGAAAAGTAAAAAATAAAGTGAAAAATAAGAAGTGAAATAATAAATAGTGAAATAATAAAAAGTGAAATAATACTAGGAGATTTTATCATTATATAAATATTTTTGGAATTTTTATATTTTTCAATTATTTTTTTGAATTTGCAATTTTTATGTTATTATTATAACAATACCTCTTTTTTCTCTTAATATTTTTTTATCAGTTTACATCCTCTCCCAATTCAGGTTCAAGTTTATAAACTAATTTAATGATTAGTGAACAAACTTGTAACAATATTTTTATTAGAAAATTTATTAGTTCACATCTTAATACTTACTTGAAAATTTAACATCAAGAAACATTACTTCAAATTTCCTAACAATATTTTTGTTATATTTCTTTTCACTTTTTGATATAATAACTGAACCTTTAGCTAATTTTCTTATTTGAATTCAAGAATAAGATGCAATATCTGAATCTTTTATTACTGAACAACTATTTGAAGATATATATGAAACAAACCTTAATATTATTAGAACAGAAAAATTACAAAGATGAGTAATTTGACTATTAAATATCTTAATTTACCAGAACAAATATACACTTAATTATTAATTATTACTAGTTAAAAAAATACTTGAAGACTTTCACAATCTAGAATTTGAAGGAAATTCTAATATATCTAATAGTTATTATTCTAAGACAACCAGTAATATTAAAATAATCAAAGATCAACTTATAATCATTAAAGAAGAATCAGTAGAAGAACAACAAGATATCAACTTTAAAATATAATTAATTATTCAAACTGATACTAAAGAAGAACTCAATATCTCTGATCAAGAACTATTATCAAAAGAAAAATTAGACTTTGTACTAGAAGAAATAACTAAAGAATTAGATAATGAAGCAATGGTTAATTTAAATAATGTTCTCAATGAATTAAATATTTTCATTACTACTCTTATTATTAAACTAAGAACAGAAAAGAATTACATATCAATTCAAAAATTTAAAGATAATAATCAAAATACAGTTAAATAGCTTTAAAATTTTGAAGTTGCTGCTATACAAAAAATTCAAATTGTTTATAAATACTTGAAAGATGTAGCTGCTGCTTGATTTAATCAAAGAGCTATTAATAATACTCTTGCTTTAACTAGTTAAATAAATATTAAAAATAATAAATACAATTTTAAATATTGTTTTGTCTTAAAATTTTGTATCTCTCATAAAATTAAACAATAACAAAATGAACTTAAAATACTTTAACAAACTGAAAGTATTAATAAATATACCAATCGATTTAATACTCTTTTAAAGAAAGTAGATTTAACCAATACCTATTCAGAAGATTACAAAATTTGAATATATAAAAGAGACATAAAATCTGAAATTCACAAATAGATAAAAATAAACTCTAATAAAATTTTGCCAAAGATTATCAATATAACTAAAACTGTGAAAGAGACAAATTCTAAAGAACCTAATCCAATCTATCATTAGAATCAAATTAGATTAACTGTTAATCTCAACTAACTTATAATGATACTTTAGAATCTGATCAGTAAGTTAAAAACTCTTGAAACACCTAAAAGATCAACTTATTCATCCAGAAATAATAAATAAAACTATTATCGTAATAATAATTACTCTACTCTAACTTGTTACAATTGTAATGAAATTGGATATCTATTCAAAAATTGTAATAAATCATATAACCAGAACACTTATTATCAAAATTTCAATAAAAATCAATAGTCTTAGAGCAATTAAAATAATCAATTCAATAATAATAGCAATAATTTCATTAGAACAAATACTATTTCTAACTAATCAATATCAATAAATAATAATAATAATAACTAAACTAATCTTCTGTTTCAAATTCAACTATTATTAGTTGCTCTTCAAACACTCAATCTTTCTCAATAAATTAAAATTTTGAGTTCTACAAATTTAATTCTGTTTGTTACTTATAATTATCTAGCTAAAGATCAAAAAAGAATTAAATTGGATGAATTAAAGATAGTAAAAGATGAAGATACAGTTATAACTGAACCAAGTAATATTAAATATTTTATTTCTGAAAATTCAAGCTGAACAATTTATATCTACTGCACAAATTATTATATTAACAAAAGATTAGAAAAGAAAGAAAGATAAAGCTATACTACCTATTCTTGCTGTCAGATTGTTCTATATAATATTCTAGATGATCTGATAGTAAAATCAATATTATAATTAGATAACTAATTCAAATCTCTTTAGAACAATATCTTAAAATGTCTAAAGTCATACAATGATCTTTCAGACTAAAATAAAAAACTATCAAAAAAGTCACTGAAATGGTTAGACAGAAGATTAGAACTACTTCTGTTTGATATGAAGCTAAAATTGAAACTGTACCTATCAATTTAATTATTGATACTAGTATCTCTGATTGTATTACTAGTAATAATTTTCTGAAGAAACATTATATTAAAATTCAACAAAATTTTAATATCATAATATTAAATATAAATGATAAATTTAAACAATCTCTTGATGCAATTAATAACTTACCAATTACTATTGCTGAAATTATAATTTCTGCTAATATCAACATTACTAAAACTTGCACTTATAGTGTAGTAATTGGAATGAATTGGTTAAATAAAATCAAAGCCAAATTAGATTCACATAATTAAATCATATCTTTTAATTGGGATAATCAAAAAGAAAATACTAAAATTAAATTCATCTATGGACAAGAATATGATAGTTCTAATGAATTATCTGATGAATCAAATGATGAATCCTCAACTGATAAAGAAGAATTTGAAGAACAACACTTAGAAAGTCAAAACTTTCTGATGCTCAACCTTATTTAGATATGGGAAAAGTAGGTTTAGAAAATGTGGAACTGGAATGATGCAAGTTCATGGATATTTACTATGTAAATATGCACAATGAAAAAACTTTTTACAAAGAAAATATTCAAATCTTAGGAAAGGTTTTTTGATAGAGAGAGAGAGAAAGAGAGAGGGTTTTTTGTGTCATACGATTACATCATGCATGCAGAAGTTCCATGACCTTCAATTTTCTTGGCAAAAGTGATCAGCGTGACAATTTGTCACGCATAACTCGAGAATTTTTAGCGGAGCAAGCACAAAGTGTTAAAAATTTATTACTTTTTCAAACGAAGGGTCATTCTTTTCCAGATAATTGATTTTATGCGTGGTAATAAGTGGTGTTTTCATTTAAGATCATTATTACGAGATATGCAAATCAGGCATTATTATAAGAGACTAAGCTAATTCATCGCTGTTTTGTGAAATTAATGCTAATCTTTGCTTTTCAGCTGAAACCATCTACGATTTCCTGTAAATATTGAGCGATTCCGAGCCGAACTAATTAATGATACCAAATCCGAAATTAGCTTCTCAGACTTGATCTCAGTGTTTTCCCGTCTAAGTATATCATTCTCAGCTACAAGCTTGGAAATTCGTTCTTCTAATGAATCGACTTTGGATTGTTTGTTTGCCATTTTTTATATTTTATAAAAATATGGATATACATGTATTCAATTCTTTATCGTGTTAATGTAAACCATCTGATGAAATTTCAGCGAACAATGTTCGTCAAAAAATGCCAAGAAAAAATACACGAAAAATCTTTATTTAATCCAAGATAATCAGACCCTCTTTGAGGTATCAGACGACCACCCAATCAATTGATAATGTGTTATTCTATAACGGGATGATCTACATGTATTTCGGTATGAAATCTATTTCGGGGTGTGCTCTATATCGAGCATGTGTGATCTATTGTGTGTACTACAAACATCGTGCATATGGTTTAATTTTCCAGCAGACTTGACACTTGATCATGTGCCCGATAAATAATGAAAAATCGACCTCCAGGGCCATCTTTATTGAGATAAATATAAAATACAAGATAGAAAAAAGTACATGTACATATAACGAAGTCTAGTTATCGTCTCGTGGGGTGGAAACTGTAGTACTATCTTCCATTGCCTTTGCTATGTGGAGATAGATGCGTGATATAGTAAAGATAAATCAGTAATTACTATATTACGTAAAATTAACAAAGTTCTATAAATTTAGTTACAACAGCTTCATCCGAAAATTGTACAGGAATCTCAACAGATCGTAAATGGTAATATCGGTGTACATTAACCATATCACGTACGAGAAGATTCAAGTGTAATACATTACCTGCCACCTGCATGTCTCGCGTGAATTTTTCAAAAGTTTTTTGTTATAGTCAAGTAGATACTGGCGAAACACTTTAAGTTGGTTCATAACCCGGCGATTGTTTTCTTTCTCGTGATCACAGGTGAAATTATCGGTTTGAACAGTATTATCAGTAACACATAAGCCGGTTAATAAACTTTTTATTAATTCGTTTTTGCAATTATTTATCTTCCAATTTCACAACTCTAGCCTTAAACTTAACATTTTCGGTCTTATTTTTGATGTTCTCGGCCTCAAGCTTTGAATCAGTTCCATTGAGATCATCAATTTCAGATGCATGCTTATGTAATGTATATTAGCGTGACTTAATTAAATTGCGCTAAAAAAGTCATTTAAAGTCACTAATTGAAATTAATCGGAAATCGATAAAAAAGAATTGTCACAAGAAAACATATGATAAATAATCGCCTTATAGCTAATTTCAATATTATAAAATAAATTATACTTATCGTAACCGGAACTAAATGGGTTACTATGAAAGAAGCATCGATCTTTTTTAATTATTTATGTACTGTACGACTTACTTTCATAAAATGAATGACAAATAATAAAAATAATAAGGCCATTCATAGCACACATGGTAATGAAAGATATAAAATACTGCCAAGTTATCCTTAATTCTAATTAATTTAACGTAATAATAATATAATGATGACTTCTTGTGGGATCTTTTTCTTTTATATTATTCTTTGGACAGCAATTGTCTCGCCCACGCCAATTTTGAACCGGGGGTATGAACCAAACACAAATATTTTTGATTTCACTATAGAAAAAGTTACTTTGGCTCCAGATGGGTTTACTCGTCAATTATCAACCGTTAATGGACAATATCCTGGACCAACCATAGAAGTTAACAAAGGAGATCGTATTGTGATGAAAGTTAATAATAAATTGGGAGAACCAACAGGTAATTTGCAACAAATATTTTCCTATGTTTTATGTGTTGTACGTGTTTTTAAGCGCATATTGCAAAATGAAATATTAGCTATTCATGCGCATGGGATGCTTCAAAGAGGGACTCCTTGGTATGTGATTTTTTTACCGGAATTAATTTTTGCAAAGACTATACTAATTTCACAATCTATTATATAGGTTCGATGGAGTACCATGGATGGTGAGTCTATGGAAAAAACTGATTCGTATAATTATATTCTTTCAATATTGACCAATCGTCGATTGACACGTACTATCAGGCTCAATGCGTTATACCAGACGATTACGAATTCACCTACAATTTCACTGTTTCCGACCAAGTTGGCACTCATTGGTAGTGAGTATCTATGAGACCAAAAAAAAAATCATTTGAACTCCTATGTACTCACTGTCTATATATAATATTTCTTTAGTCATGCGCATGAAACGATGCAATATGTTGATGGAGCTTTTGGCGCGTTAAGTAAGTTATTTAATTATTTAATTATTTAATTTAAATCGACTTTTTTATGACTTCTCTATTTAATTTATTAGTTATTCACGATCCTGATGATCCGTATAAAGCGGAATATGATGAGGAAATTATTGTCATGTTGAATGATTATCATCATACCAATGCACAAGTTTTATTAAAACAATTCTTAACTCCTGAAAGTAAAGGAGTAGAGGTAAATTTAACGTTTTGAAGCTTAATTCGAAATTCTTAAATTCATATTAATTCATTCTCATTATATAATAATAGCCAGGTAAGAAAGATTGATATAAGTACAAAGGTATGACCGCGTGATGCTAATTAGAACGATTCCTACACCTACAGTTCCCGATAACGGTTTGATCAATGGAAAAAATAATTTCGATTGCTCCAAGGCCCCGCCGGGTTCTAAATGTGTGGACAATGCCGGTCTTGCTAAATTTGAATTTGTTCAAAATAAAAAATATCGCCTTCGTATCATTAATACTAGGTACAGTAATCTACATCATCGTATTATGCAATTCAAAAAAAAATTAAAAGTGACGAATGTTTTTATTCTTCTAGCGCATTTTCGGCATTCTTCTTTTCTATTGATAAACATGAAATGGAAGTTATAGAAGCAGACGGTGAATATACTAAGCGAAATACGATCCATCGTCTTCCCATCAATGTCGCCCAAAGATATTCTGTTATTGTTACTGCAAACCAACCGGTCGATAATTATATAATGCGTTCTGAATTTCAAAAGAAATGCATGCCAGATGCTGCAGCTAGTCTTCCTACTATTAAAGCTATAGTACATTATGAAGGAGCCCCCGATGGTCCTGAACCAAAAGACAATCCATGGTCTGATTCCTTGACAGAATGCGTTGATCTAGATCACAAGACTTTACAACCACTTAAAGAAGAAAAGATTCCCGAACCAACGAAAAAATTGGAACTCAAAATTGCTTTTCATAAGAATACAACAGGAGTTGTTAAAGCTTTCCTTAATGAATCTTCTTATATACCCGATATAAATTTTCCGAGTTTAGATAAAATCTTTAAAGGACAACCAATTAACGAAACTAGTGCAAATGCCTATGTTTTTAATAAAGATGGAGAAGTAGTTGATATTTATTTCGTCAGTAAGTATAATTAATTAACAATTGTATAAGAATTTTCAATTTTATGATTTTATTAACAAATATTTTTTTTTAGATACTGACGATGGCGACCATCCGTTTCACATTGTATGTAAAATTAATTAATCGACATAAATGATTTAAAAATTAACTTTTTTTTCTAAAAACTTAGCATGGATACCAATTTTGGGTACTTGGAACCGGAGATGGAGATAAAGTTGATGAAAATAATTTGAATACACATAATCCAATCAAGCGTGATACTACAACAGTACCTGCCTCAGGGTAAAAAAAATTTCGCGTTTTCTTTCACCGATGACAAATAGTCCCATTAGTAAAATGAAAAACAGACTAAACAGAGGCGAATATAATTTTTTTCTAGATGGATTGCCATCAGATTTGTTTCCGACAATCCTGGAGTCTGGGGAATACACTGTCACATGATATGCTATCGTTTCATTCCGTTTTTGTTCAGTATATTGCTTTTTTTTTTTGACAAATCCACTAACATTTTTTTTCCTTTCCTTTCCTTTCATTTCATTTTTTTACGAGGTATGTAAAGATTTTTTATTGATACATGAAAAAATGTATACGATTCTGATTTTAAAACGTTTTATCTTTTATAGTGGCATTTGGAATCTGGTCTTTTGATGCAGTTGATCACACTTCCAGATGAAATCTTAAAAATGCATCCTCCGAAAGAATGGACCAAATTATGTGAATTAGGTGAACGTTAGATTAACATACTTGAACAATATTTAGATTAATAATTTATATTCAAAATAAATACTATAATAATATTTATTTGTAACTATGGTGATGTTGTTGTCGAGTATTATTAAAATCATGAACATGTTTTCCTTGAATATAAATCATTAAGGCACAAATTATGATTATAATAAAGTTACATCTTACCCTCGTTATAGCGGATTGATCAGGCTGGGAATTTTCGTCCGTTATAATGAATATCCGCTGTGGTGTTACATAGTACATGTATAATAGAAAATGAAACTTTAATTGATGATCCGCGAATAAATGAGTGCGTTACACATAACAAAAAACGAGGGAAATTTGACACAAAAACAACCCCAACGACTCGGTCTACAATCATCCTCAACTCATTTTGCGGAATCCAGGGATTTCTTCCAAGCCTTGGTGAACAACGGAGGTGGTATTTATATGGCGTTCCTCGGCATTTATCAAAAAATTGTGGATTTTGGTTTGTAAATCAGCAGACATATTGATTAGTCGAGTTCGAAGAAACAGAAGCTTTGTTATATCGCAAGTAAAAACGACGAACAACCACAACGTAAATATACTGTCCTTGTAAAACGTTCCCTCCGCCCATTTCTGGCCTCATTTAGGTATAGAATAGATTTAGGGAATGTGAAACTGGAGTGATGCAAGCCCATGGGCATTTACTATGTAATATGCACAGCGAAAAAAACTTTTCACAAAAGAAATTGCATATACCACGAGTTAATCAATCAGATTAGAACAATCAAGTAGAATTTGGACAAATTTTTTTTTATTTTTCTGAAATATAAGTGGAATTTGAATGGATCTTTTTTTATTTTTCTGGAATACAAGTTAGACAATTTTTTTTTATTTTTCTGAAATACAAGTTAGACAAATCTTTCTGGAATATAGTTGAATACAAGTAAAAATTAGACAAATTATTTTTTGGATATAAAAATTATATTTATTATTATATATATTATAAATATTCTATATTTATATTTTATATATTTATATCTAAATATTCTATATATAAATGCTTTTATATTAATTGAAATTAATGGTAATAAAGGAATATTAGAATTAATAGTAAAGAAGAAATATCAGAATAATAGAGAAGGAATATCAGAATTATAATGGAAGAATATCAAAATTATAATGAAGAAAAATTAAAATTAATGATAGAGAAATATCAGAATTAATAATAAAAAAATTTTAGAATTGAGAATAGAGGAATGTTGAAGTGTTTGAGTTAAAAAAAAAGTTGAAATATTGAATAAAAAAGAAGTAAGAATAAAATTAGAATATTAAATAAAATAAAATCAGAATATTCATCTTATTATAACTCAAATTCAATTTATTATAACCCATTTCTGATCCTTTTGGATCAAATATAAATAAAAAATATTATCAAACAAATTTATACATACTGTATACATTAAAATTCTGACTAATTTTTCTCTAGATAGTAATATGATGATGTCATGATAATTTATAATATCATTATAATAAGAACATGCTAATATTGCAGAATAATATATCATTTATTTCTGACTAAAATTAAAGTTTATTTCGATATATCACTTGATAAGCAGTAACTTTGTTATATAAGTGTTATACAAAATTTGTTCAATTCAATTCAATCATATCAATGACAAAAATATTTTTAACAATTTATTGAGTTTTTCCATTTATTATTGGATTAATGTTCTTTATTCTATTGTTTTATTATTTTCATCTTTATTAAGGAAATAGATTTCTAATTTATTATGACCTATGGAATCAAATTTGGTACTTTCTCGACTTGATTTTTACAATTTTTGTCATGATCTTTTGTATTTCAGTAATATTGACTAATCTTAAAAATATGGCTTGAGCTATCCACTTTTTGAGTTAAATATCATATAATTGGATCAAATTGTTATATAATAGCACTTCTATATTTTTATATATTCTATATTTATGCTTTTATCTTTTTTTCAATTCTGTATTTAGCTAAAGAGTGTTAAAATATTAGTTAATAAACAGTTCCTATAGGAATCTCAAAGATAATCTAAAGTTCAATTAAAATTGTTTGTTAATTAATGTAAATAATCCATCCTTCAGAGTATTATAGATCAAAATCAGCATTAGTAGTGTGCTCTTGCTCAGGTATTCTTTCTTTTTCTTATTAATATAAACTTTTATTGAATTAGAGCTGCTAATATCATATTTTTTTGTTCAATTATTCTTCTAATGTTGTTAGGTTGAATTCCATTCCCATCTCTGACTTTGTTAGTTATCAAATTAAATTCAACTATCTTCTGATTGTCTTATTTGACTGTTCTTGAGTCTTGCCAACAGTCATCATATTGTTTGAGATCGCATGAAATCAAGCAATCAGAACAAAGTTTGACATTAATGTACTCTAATCAGATCAGCTGGAGGTATTGTATGGAGATAATTGTTAATATATCAAAGTAAAGATCTCAGTTACAGAGACTTTCTCAAATCTGTTATAGTTGATGTATTGTACAAATATGATGATCAAAATTTAATCTAGAATTTATATAATGTGCACAAATATGATTATTGAAATGTAATTATTATAATCGAAGACATAAAATCATAAAAAATTGTATGTAAATAAAAATATTGAATTTAATCCTATATTAAATTAATACTAATATAAAGAATAGATTTAAAAAATGATTTTGTATATTTTTTATTTGTTCCTATTTATTACATGAAACGTTATTGGCATTTAAATATTTATAACTTGGGTGGTGCATTACTTAATATGTACATGTAATATGTTTATTATACTTCTAATTCTAGTAATTATTTAACTATGTGTTTACTGGACATCATTGGTTATTACTAGATATCATTGAACATCACTAAACATTACTGGATATTACTACAAAAAAATTGATTGAAAGAGTCCCGTAACAACTTATCACTGAAATTACTACGTCATATAATATCATCCAGTCAGTTCCAGTAATTCTCACTGGACCAGTCCAGTGATAACACTAGTTTAAGTTATAAAATTTCTAGATCATTAAATTTTATTCAAACTTGCATTGATACAGAAAGAGATCACATCAAGTACTGATATTTTAGGCACTATCAATACAAAATTTTTTTATATATTATGTAATTGAATGAAATATAGTAAAAAAACTGGCCGTCATTACTTTTCGCCATAACTGTAAGCCAATTCGGAAACATAACGAGAATTACCATATTCAGATATTCTTAAGATAACTGAATAAAATTTATTGTCTTATGTAACTAAATTTCTATCATTACTATAACGAGCATATTTTCGATCGATTTCTAATGCTATTTCTTTATATCTATCCAAATTCGTAACTCCTATCAGTATAAAATTGAGCTAAAGGATTTCTAGACTGCTGATTTCAAGTACCATTCAAATGCTTTTTATTCATCTTTGATTAATACCCTAGCCACGGAAAAAAAGTACCTTTCACGTGCTGCTGGTGACACAAACCAATAAAAATACGTAAATTTTTCATCAGCCTGGCAAAACAAACCAAAATCTAGCTTGGTATACTAAAAAAAATGTCGGGAAGACAATTTTACATACAACCTTGGCTCCAGTTCTAGCCCTAACCCTAACCTTTAAATTAACTTTTAACAATAACTTTATTCTCGTAGCATTTTTCCAGACATAACATATATCACATGATCTGCCGCTTTTTTTCGCCGTGGATAGGGTACTAATCTTAGATTGTTCTTTTTCCATTTTCATAGATTATTTTGTGCTTGAGAAAATCCAAACTCTGCTGCTTTAATATACCATTCTAATGCATTTTTCTTATCTTTGTTTATCTCATGCCCGTCATTGTATAGTTCAGTATTGTGCTGCAGCATCTACTTGAAACGCCAACGGTTAATAATATTGTAAAGCTTGATAATGATCTTTGTTGACATTAATACCAAAGTGATAAATATCCTATATTTTTTTATAAAGTATATTGTCTTGTAAACTTTGCAAACATTTAAGTTTATCAAAGGTTATTTGAAAATAAGTAAAATATTTCTAAATTTGCTTCATAATTTTCCTTATATTCCATCGTAGTTTCTTTTTTTTCTAAGTCTGAGAGGATGGTGCTAAATTACTTTCTACTTGAACCCATAAATTGCTATGGACAAATCAGGGTTGCTTTCATTTATATTTAAATTTGCATCTGTTGCTGGAATGGATGAAGATAACAAAAGTAATCTATTTGATCATTCACGGCGGCGTCATTGATGTTCTGGATCTTTTTTCCGATCAATTATTCTCTTTCTTTACACTATTTTCGTCGTCAATAACTGTTGTGGATTCTCTTCGCATTCGATTGGTTGTTTTCTCTTGGTTTTTGCTAAACTTTTATTCTCGAAAAGCTCGATTTCTTTCACTTTTTTCGATCTTCTCGAATTAGAGAAATTAATATTGTTGTCGTTTATTGATGGAGTCGATGAAGACGAAGGTATTGAATCTATTTTTTCAATTTCCTTGATCAATGACCTTGTTTTGTTAATCTCGATAATTTAACTGTTCTTATAAGCAGTAAAATTAAATATATAGTGATAGTTTTTTCTGATCAAAAATCAAAAGAATCGATATTATATCGATATTAGATTGATCTGGCGTAAAGATGTTTATATCGATGTCATTTTATTTAAATTGAAATAATCGTAATTGTGCATACTTCACACATCATTTTCAAAAACAACTTTAATACACCCTTCTAAATGTTGTTCGAAAATTGTGTAGCCGTGAACAGCATCACATAGTTTGAAACGATGCGACACAATTTTCTCGACGTTGTATTTTTTCGCTTCGAGTAGCGGAAGGGTTTTGGTTATCATGTGACGAGCGGGACAGCGACCGGATTTGTATGTTACATTTTTATTGTAACCGCTTTTGAAAAAAAATAAAGTAAGAATTGGTAAAATTATTTTATTATACAAATAGAGAAATGTGAATATTGTATTTACTCTTCGGGACTAAATGGAAACACTTTGCCTGAGTGTACTCCAACACTTGAAATAATGCCGGCCGGACGAAGTATTTTGAATGCTAATTCCAAAGCCTTATTATTTCCGACAGCCTAAAAATAGTATTGAAATTGTTGGTATTTATCCATCAATATCAAAACTCAATATGATAAAAATCTTAAATATAAACCTCTAAAACAACATCCGCTCCCCGTGTATCAGTGATACCTTTAATCATCTCATATACATCCTCATTCAAAAAATTAATCACAGTCATTGCTCCATAATCTTTCGCTAATTGCAATCTTTCACCGATACTATCAACCGCTAACACGTTTTTTGCTCCCAAATGTATAGCAGAAACAATACTCATCAGTCCAACAGGACCGCATCCAAGAACCACAATAACACTTTGTTCTCGCTCGATGGCTGATAAATTCCCGATTCCATTTTCAGCGCAAAATAATCCGGTAGAGAATACATCCCCAGCTAGAAGAGCTTCGATATTTGATATTTTTTCCGGACACTTTACTAGTGTTGAATCTGCTAAAGGAACTCGAACGTATTCTGTTTGTGCGCCGTGGATTCCTTCGCCCTTTGCTATCCAGCCGTAAAGTTTGCCTTTATCGCAACGGCATGTTATTCCTCGGGTACAATAAAAACACTGATTTTAAGAGTTAAGTAAAACTATCAATATAGGAAAGATAAACATTCAGAATTCGAATACTTTTTAAGTTTTATATTTTTTACCTCTCCACAATTGGTTGTAAAAGGTGACAACACTCTATCGCCAATGTCAAGATTTTTTACATCTAAGCCTTTCTTGTCCACTACTCCGACAAACTCGTGACCCATTATCGTTCCTTTATCCAGTCTTTCTTCATGATGTCTATAAACTAAATAATATAACGATAAATTAAATACGTTTAACGTTAAGGTATACGAACATGTATTACCGTTACGAACCATGAAGATCTGAGCCACACAATCCACTAACAATCACTTTAACTATAACATCCGTTGACTCGATTAACTCTGGTATTGGTACTTTCTCAACGACGATTGTGTAAGGCTTTTGGTAAGTTACTGCTTGCATTGCCTTATCGTTATAACATAGTACGTAAATTGGTTTCGCTCATATGTAAACTACCTGACTTTTACACAAGACATAATTTTTTATGAAACACGAATAAGTCAAAAGCTGGAACGACATGTATGAATCTTGCTATAGCGATGAAATTTCTATTTCCTATGAAATTTCTGCTCACGATAATAATGCAGCGATATTCTTCATGAAATTTCATATGTACAATTTTATCGTTATATCCAGCTTTGACTGCATTGAGGCTTGCTCTCTTTGAAAGAACTCTTAATAATAAATTTTCACTTCAAAATTGTTGGTTCTGACATCTAAACTCATCAATAGCGATTAAATTGTATTTTATAAATTACTTAAATACAAAATTTAATCCGATAGATAATAGAATAGATCATTCTATCGGATTAAATTCTGTATTTAAGAAGTTTATAAAATACAATTTAATCGCTATTGATGAGTTTTAGATGTTATGCACTATACATAATTCCAACAACATTATATAAATATCTCATGAAGAATGTAAGTTTTACCTCTATTCTTTTGCGTTTTGTGTTTTTTGTTGATCAGACTGGTTTTCGGCTCGTAATCTCAATTATAATGAAGCATTGCCAGAAGATGCTAAAAATTTATTAAACGCTGGATTTATACACGCACAATGCACATTCTGGCTCCGTCTCAAGCTTATAAGATTTACTTTATACATGTGGGTGGATTTGATTCCACAACTTTGGCCAAATTGGGCCAAACTAATCATTTTTGGGAATCATACAGTGCAGGACACTTAAAGGCGCCAATAAAATTAGTCATCTTTAAAAGGCAATGGATCTTCATACAAAAAAACCTGTGATCGTCAAAGCAAATTTGATTGGTTAATTACGAGTCACGTTTTGTTATTTTATTGATAAACCACTTAGCAAATGACACGTTTTTATGATAATCACGTGATTTTTTGGCATTTAAATTTAGAAACCAGAATGGTACAAGTCACGTGATTGTAGTCTTTAAGTGTCATGCACTGTATCAATACGAAATTCACACCCCTCCCCCCAAATACACATGTCTCTGTATTACCGATAAAAATTTTTCTTTATTGATTTATTTTAGAATAAAATAATGCAGTGTGTAAGGTACATATATTTCGATTACTAACACTGATACGTAGATATCGATTTCAACAAAACAACCACTTTCAAACGCGATATCTCGACATCCGGTAGTCGGATTCGAGCGAAATCGCCATCGTTCGATTTGTCCTGTCAAGGCGAACCGAATGGTTTGAATCTGATAACCGGATGTCGAGATATCGCGTTTGAAAGTGGCCGAATGGTTTTTTTGAATGCCCAATTTTCCTGATGAATAAAGATGTTTGAGCATCCTTTCTTGGGCTATCCGCTGGTATAAAAAATAGTGATCTTTTTGGTGTGCCATTTCTCAACAGGGAAGTTTATTTGTGAATTGAGATGGCAACCGGCTTACAAATAACGCCGATAAATAAAACTTTTTCGGTCGTTATATAAAATTCAGTCGCTGTGAAACACCGTATGACTGAACGATAAATAAGAGAATTGCTGGAAAAAGGAGGGAAATGACAATGTAACGGTAATGCATTGTCATTTCAGCATTTTTCAAAATGTTGCTGTTAAAATTGTAACACACAATCGAAATTCACAACATATGTGCTATGTTCATGTACTTTACCGGCGGTTTCTGAATTCCTGTTTCATTGCTATAATTGAACGCCCAATTTTTTTAATTACGATAAGATAATAAAACTCAAAAATTGAGATGAATATAGTTTGGCCGGTGTTAAGTTCTGCGATTTTTTTTCATACTTGGCACCCAAATTATAGGATAACGAAAGTCTTTTTATTATTGAAGTTCTAAACGAGAATACTCTATTCAACGGCATCATCATTAATTTAAAACCTAAATCATAATTATTAATTCAATTCTAAGAAACAAATATTCAACACCAATTTTTGTTGCTGATTTCAAGACTACAGGTTAATCATGCAGATTTCGCAATAATAATTTTCAATATCGATTTTGACCAATGCTGAAATTTAAAAAACACATTATTTAAAATTGTACCTTCTCTAAAAATATATACGTAAAACTTTAAATGATGTATTGTTTTACATTTAAAGTTCATATAAAAAATATTTTACAATTTGGTGTGACTAAGTTGGGTGCACTATGTAAAGCTAAATGGACTCCTTTTGAAAAATTCACTAATGTTGCATACCTTGCAAAATATATTAGAGTTTAGAAACGAGGTAAAAATGAATCATTTCTAAAGTGCAAACGTAATGCTTTTGATTACAAATTTTTCAAAATAGATTCTGACTGACTGCTCTAAAGTGCAAGAATGGTGATATTGAATATCACGGAATAATAATACATGTACATGTAATTTTTGTTATCTACCGCTATTTACACCTTACTTGCCCACTCTCGTCAACCCGTATTGTCTTACTATTCTCGTCAGCTCGTCTCTGCCACTAAAGATAGTAACTTGGACTGGCTCTTGGGAAAATATGTATATGCAGAAAAACTCCAAAGAGTCAAGTTGCTTTTCGAAATCGAAAGAATGATTTCTCTCATCAAAATCGAAAAAAAGAATTCTCTGATCAAAGACAAAGAGAATTGAAATTGCGAAAATAGAAAAGTATCTAACTGTGACTAAAAACAATATGGTGAGTTGTGATTGAAAGTTTTTTCAGCGATAATGAGTTTTCATATTACCTCCTCAGGGTTATTTGAATCTCAGATTAAAAGGAGCTGTACACCTTAGAGGTGTCTTTGGTTAATAAAAACTTATTTGCTTTCACTGTGAATATTTTATTAACTTTTGTGTTTGATCTCTAGAACAGTGGGAATTATTAAA